ACAAAGCAAGTTAGTTTATGTAAGAATTGGAAAATAGAATTTGAAATCCTGGCCTCTGGTCTCCGTTGTTTGCACAGGTCTCCTGTTCAGACACTTTTGTTCACATGCTGGCTCTGCAGTGTACCTGGTGGCAGATGTCAAGCAAGTTATTCAAGTTTCTAAGCCTCAGTTTTCTTATCTGTAAAATAGACATAATAATGAGATGAATCTATAGAGCACTAAGCCTTGCACTTAGAAAGTGCTTGATAAATACTAGCTGTGGTGCCATTAGTACTATTTCCCTTATTTATCAATCATACAGAGTTATAAAGTTATATGAAGTGTTAATGTCTCAAGTAAAAAAGTTTTAGAAAAGAAGATCACATTAGCTGGAGCCCCTTGGCCGGTTGGAAGGTGCTGGTTAAATGTACCCAGTTATATCCAGTTATTAAGTCCCTCTGCCCAGAGAAAGTGCTGGTGCAGTATGAGGATTCCTTTCTTCACTATCCTTTCTGAGTTTTTTCTTTTCTGATTCAAGCCTTGATTGAGCTTTTCTTCTCTTTGCAGAGCTGTCCCAGCTGTGCCCACTTAGCCCCCCGGGTCCCCAGCACTCTCTGCCTCCCATTGTTCTGCTCCTTTTCTCCTGTAGAGGTGCACTCTACCCCAGAGAGGGTTTCTGCCCCGTGGGACAGACAGCATTTCATGCTACAATGAGTCCTGCCCTGGGACATAGATGCTGTTTGAATCTGAGACATCCATCCCCTATAATATACACTCCCTCTCTTGCACACTGACTGGCAGCTGCCCTATGATTCAGCGCGTGTAGGATCCCATTTTGTCACTGTCCTTCTCACGACCTTGGTTAAGTTTGTTAGATCCTCAAATCTTTACTTCTATCCTCAATAAAGTGCTGTTCTTTCTGCTCATGTTTAATAAAGAGAAGAAGCCAAAGTTCCTGAGACAGAGGCTTCCTTTCAAGCAAATATTATGTTTCCCCCTTACTTTGTCAGTGGGCCTATGACTAAGGAGTCATTCATATGTCCCAAGGCTAAATCTTCACTGCTGCAGCTTCCTACTCAGGGCTTTGTACCCACTGCTCACTTACTCTACTGCTCAGATTCACAGAGAAGAAAGAAGAGTTTTTCTTGAGACATCCTCTTCCCTGTTCTTTTCAAGGCTGAGATACTTCATGATCATGGCTTCAAGATAAAAGTATTATAGTGGTGGTTTTCTGGGTTGAGTTTCCCACCTTCAGCAAAATCACTACAATACTCTCTCAGAGATAGGGATGGTTTATAGCAAATACATTCACTTTTTACTATTCCATTCTTTGTTCTCATTTCCTTGAAATTAGGATAGTTTCTTTCTTCATGTCTTGTCATAGCCCAGAGCAAAGCCCTCTGTCCCAATGGGGACCTAAAGAACTTTGCTTATGAGCAGTCCTTCCGTATTATTGTCAGGTTTCCATTGATTTCTTATTTGTAGCAATTTCTGTCTCTAGAAAGACAGCTTCATCTATGACAGTCCCTAGCCCAAAAATGCCAGAAGCATAGCAGTTCTCAGGCTGTTACCTGAACAGCTGCTTGTCCAACTGGCCGATCTGACTACTATCCTACAGGCAGGATGACTGGGCTGAGTCCTGATGGCCCTGAGAGGGTCTGTCTTTGTACAGACGTTACTGTCATTCTAATAGGGTTGCATTAAACTGGTTGTGTTTAGAAGTGGTACTAAACACATCTGTGTCCTAAATCAGCTCACAGTTTCTGAAACTAACCAACTTGCTCTCAAGTGCTTTCCTTTTTACTTATGTGGTTTGTTACTGAAAAATAAAGTTCACGGCTTAAATGATATAAGCACTTGTCCTATTGGGTCGCCAGGAAAGTCATGATGCATTTTTTGCATAGAAAAACAGAAAAATATGTCATGACTTTTTGGATAGCCTATTAGGAAGAGTGCCTTTTGACCTTGGTGTCCATGAAGCAAAATTATTACTATTGAAAGCAAATGCTCCCCAAATTATCCTTTGATACTTTTGAACACTCCTATCCTAGGACTGATGCCAGCTTTTCTTTGTGGGGTGCTCCAACCCCTGCTTTAGCCAGAGGCCTCAGAGCTATCTCTTCTCTTCCAAGTGCTCTCTGCAGCCTTGGCTATCCTCAGCCGCCTGCCTTACCCATCCTCACAAACCCAAGATAATTAGTGATTTCCCTGCCTTACTGATTTGTTGGCCCATAATTATGATTTATAAATATCCCACAGTCAAGAACACCAAACAATTGAACTACTTCCCTCTATTCTGGTAATTTTTTAAAAAGCTCACTTTATTTTATTCAAGATAGCTCATGGGCACTCATAGGGTGGAGAGAGAGAAGAAAATAGGGAGAGGGAAAGA